GTAGCCTTACAACAGAAGCCTCAGATTGCTTATAATAAGGGAAAATAAGAAGGGTCTATTTCAAGCTTGTTATGCAAATAAGTTCTTTCTTTTTTTCTTAACTAAGATTTGTTAGAAAATATTTTCATCTTTAATTGACTGAATTTATTTAAAATTAGGTTTATTTGCACATGAATACTACTGTGTAATATCTGTTTACATGTATATTTAAGAAGTATAATATAAGACAAGCACAGATTTCAGGTGTGGGCCATAATACATTAAACTTTTAGAATTAGCTGAGAGCCAATTAAAAATTAACAACGGGCCGCATTTGGCCCCTGGGCCATTGTTTGGACACCTCTGCTTTAAAGGCTTGTACATCCTATACATATTCTGTTTTAGTGGACCAGTGTGGTCATGCCATAGTGCACATGGTTTCATTCATACTTTAATGTAGGGTCCACCTTGATCTTGATTTTCACGCATACACAATAAAAACTCAACTGGAGTTGGTGGCGGCGTTGTTATGTTTTTAGTGCAAGGCCACCTTTTTTAAAAACACTTTTTTTCTTCTTCTTGGCAAACAAACTAAATGTGGAAGAGCTCCCAACTGGACTTTTCATACAAAGTGTAAAAAGTACACCCTCTAAATGAAAAAAAAAGGTCAACTACTGAGGGGGGCTGGCAACAGGAGCTCAATAGTAGGATGTCACGTGATATTTATTTATACAGAACTGAAGCAACAGATGACATTAGACAAGTATCGGTTGAATACAAACTAAAGTAAAGACAGGCGTGTGTAACTTAGGTGTAAACAACAGATTACAGGTAATTGTACGATATAGAGGGCTGGATAGAAACACACAATCCGTATTGTAATGGCAATTGTTTGGGAGACGAGTATCATATATAGTTTGAATCTAATGCAGTCTAATGCAATCCAACCCTTTGTTTAAATAAACCATTGGTTAATTTGAGGATATTTAGTCAGGTTTTTAGCATGTCAAAGCTGGTGAAAGTTACAAATGATGAAAAGGACTGTTAAATCAGTTTTTAACAAGTCTAAAGGTGAATCCATATATATATTGAAATAAGAAGTAAAAAAAGTAATAAAACAAAGAAAGGGCCGGTTTATTTGTACATATCAGCTACAAGTCAATTTGTGGTTAACATGGAAAAAAACATGGAAAACATCAAGACATAAAGCAATGAGCAGAATAATCCCATTGTAAAAGGACAGTTAAATATAATCAAAACTGTTAAGGGATAATAAATAGAAAATAAATCTCAACCAACCAAGACTCAGAGAAGCAACTCAACTTTCAAATGTTCTTTTTTAAGTGGTCCAACTTGAATGTTAGCCCACTTTAAATGACCCTGAGTAGAGTTTTTTGTGACTTCGAAAGGTTACCCCACTTTGAATTTCACCTTAATCAACAGGTTGCAAGCAGGAAACAGGAACTTGGCGTGAGTCTTGAAGAGGTTTAGCATTTAATCACCAACACATAAACTATAACTGCACTGCGCTGCACTATGTTCAAAGCTATAATGCTACTTCTACTTCATATTCACTGAGAAATCAATATGGTACTATAGTATAGAGACAATAAGGTTGTTAATCATCAACAAGAACTAGACTCTCCTTTCCTAACAGATTTCTAGCTGAATAGTGATGGCACAATTGTAGGAAACACACATCAAAACTATGCAAGTGGTTATGATCATCTCTACATTTAACCACATAAAATATGTATTATCTGGGATTATAAAAAATGAAGATGCATATCATTATGACAATTATCTAAAATAAATGCCTTAGTAATTGTTTTTGAATTACCACTAGTGAAATGATATATTTATACCTTTCTTTTATCAAGCTGTAAGAGGGACTGTCATGCCTTTTCACGTTAAATATGTTTTGTGTTAATACGTTTATAAATAAACATTGGAAATTGTCTTTACAAGGATGGTATAATTTTCTTGGGCTGTAACCACTTAGTCAAGAATCTCCGTACCTCTTTTGACTGCATACCATAAATGATGGGGTTGAGGCTGCCGGGAACAATATGAAATAAAATGCTACAGAGTTTTCTGTGGTCAGAGTACTGAGGGAAGCGATGCAGAGCAATAATAGACATTCCACTAAAAATCATGATCATATACACAACCAGGTGAGTGCTGCAGGTTTTCAGAGCTTTACTGTTCAGAGACTTGTTATTACTGGTGAGACAGACTACAGTTATCTTAGTATAGGTGATTATTGTGCTCCCAATTGAAGCTGTGAAAAGAACTACAGTGAAAGTGAGGCCATAGACATTATTAATAAACACACTCTCACAGGATAATTTAAACAGCCCGGCATTGTCACAGTAAGGGCTTTCAATCATAGTCCTGCATCGGTTCAGTCGTATGGTCAGACCGAGAAGAATCCCGACCATAACCAAGGCTACTCCCCAGGCAGAAACTGTCAGCTTGATCACCATCTTGTTTGTCATTATGGCAGCATAGCGCAGAGGATTACAGATAGCCACATATCTATCAAAAGCCATAATCATGAGCACTGTCATACTAGCGGTACCAAACATATGTGAGGTAAACGCTTGGATCACACATTCATAATAACTGATGATGCGTTCAGAGGGAGGCCTCAACATGTCCATAAGCAAACGGGGTATCAAGATAGAGTTTCCAAGAATATCATTAAAGGGCAGGTTGCAAAAAAGTAGATACATGGGCTGGTGAAGGTTTTTGTCAATAAAAACCAGAACAACA